ATTCGACGCAAGCCAGCAGTCAAGCAGTCACTCACTTGTTTCTGTTCAGTCCGCCCTCACCGACGCCGCTTGACATCTTAATTGCGCCTGACCTTCTTTGTTTAACCAAGTCACAACACTCTTTCGGCTGGCAGCGACAGCGACAGCGCAGCTCGTTCTTCCACAGTTGTTAAACAGGGGGAGACTGAGCTTTGAGCCTCGAAATTTCCCCCAACTCCTCAACTGCGGAGCGGAACCGATTGCTCGTTACCCGGTCCATCGTTTGCGACCACCGCCTCCAGTTGCAAAAAAAGCCTCACAGGCGCCTCAATTGAACCCAACATAGCGACAGTCGAAGATCCTGGTCTCAATACTTGAACATTGCCTTGTCGACTTCTCGATTGCTACGAAGGTTGAATCGAATCTTGACAGACTGACTTCGGACTTGCAGAGTTTCGTATCAACTCAGGCAACCTCATGGATCACTGATTGTTCTATTGCGAATTCCTTGCGCTGCCTTCCGCGACCTCTCATCCCATTTCCTGTCGCCTTCCTTTGTGTCGCCGTCTCACCAATATGGCGCAACTACGGAGCATGGGTTCAGGAACTGACGTGCTTTCCATGTCTGCAAAATCTACAAAAGCCACTCTACCACATGCATCAGCGCCTCCTTCGTATGTCTCGGTCGCCGAAGCCGAGAAGTTGGTCTACGCAGAGATTGATCGTCTAGTCAAGATTTCAAATAATGCGGTTGCCATGCTCAATGGATTTCTGGATCAGATACTCTATGACATCCTCTCCAAATCGCAATCGACAGCATTGGGTGCGGTCCGAGCTGCAGTTCCGCTGGTCTTGAAACAGAGACTGGGACGTGCAGCTATAAAGGCTGCTGACGAGGAATTACAAGACTATTTGGATGAAGACGAACTGGAAAATATCCAAAACCACCAAGCCATCCTTGACCCCAAAGCCGAATTCGATGTCGATCTCGCTTGGAAACTCACCAGGCTGCGCTGCATGGTTTATGCAAAGCTAGGTGACATGGAGGAAGAGGACGAGGAGGATTACCTGGAAGGTGATGATGTGAGAGACCATTTAAGTCAAGTAAAAGAGGCATACAGGTCTTCCGCGAGAATCTCCCCACACTCTGCAATCTTCCTATCCACCGTCCTTGAGTTTCTCGCCGAGCAGGCTCTATGTATAGCAGCGCAACATGCGAGACGGCGAGCAATGTACCTCAAGGATGCGGGTCGAGAAACCGCTCCGATCCAGCACCACGCAGAGCCAGACGGAATTTTCTTGGAAGAGATAGATATGTCAGGCATCGGCAAAGAAGGGCCTCTAATACGACTTTGGCGGTCATGGAAGGGAAGTGTGCGGACTGGCGGCAGCATGTCCTCACGCCCTACGACACCCAACGTTATGTCGCCTATCAGTTCTGAATCTCCCATGCACGAATGGAAATTCCCTTCCGCACCAGTGATCCCACCAATTCAGGAAGAAGGGAGTCGGTCCGTTACGCCAGCAAACGTCCCTCTACCGATGACTGAAAATGATGTCAATGAAATAGAGGTGCCGGGGTTGGCGCGTACTTTCGAAGAGTTGGAGAACAACGAGGCGCGTCCTAGTCTTGGAGACCGGCGGCCCACGAGTATGTTAATCATGCCTGGCCAATTCCCAAGTTCGGCAACGGCCGATGAACATTCAGACAGGCCACGTCCGAGCAGAAGGAGATCCAGATCGGTGCCTACTTCGTCGAAAGCTTCTTCCGGCGCACAGTCGATGTCTCAATCGGAACTCGCTCCTTCTCGACCTATAGGTGGAGCTAAGGATGATATAGATCTCTCGGAGAAGCTCGACGAGGATACTCGATCGCCTCAGGGGGAAGGCAGATCTGGTCTGCATTCAACTGCAATCGGCGCCACTGTTGCTACAATCGCCGGCGCGCTGAACATAGAGGCAGCAAAAGCTCTCCGGAGAGATCGACCGAGCTACGAGTTTACTTCGCCAGTTTCGGCTGACACTAGAGAAGAACGGTTGCCAAGCAACAGAGCAGATGACTTCCAACAGACACATAACCCAGTGTCAGGGAATGGCATGGCTGTGGTGGAGGAAGAGTCACAGGAAGCTGCAGTCGATCCGGAAGACCTGGCTTTGAGCTCCAGCGATGGTGAAGGAGACCAGGTCGGAAACGATCACACCAATCCCAGGGATTCTGGGTTCAGCGTTGCTGGACCCGGAGATGCTATTCATGAGCATGAGCAAGAGGATGCCACGGATGAAGGAGAACACCTGGTCGCACACAGCTATGACCCTAGACTAGCTCAAAGAGAAAGTGCAGCTGATAGTCGAACTTCGAGGTATTCGAATCTGGGATATGCTACGATCTTCCAAACACCGGATACAACAAGTTCAGGCTACAGCAATGCGAATTCTACCGGCTCATTTGTGCAGGGAATGGCGCCTTCCCAGAACCCTGGTGCTAACTCAACTACCACAACACCAAGCACAACATCTACATGGCCAGCAGTCATTCCAAATAGAGGATCCTCCTTGGACCATCAAAACACCGAAGGTGTTCGAAATGAACCGCGAGTCCCTCAACATCCCCCACCGCCCTATCATTCGGCGGAAGACCAAGAGGCGGCGGAAAACCCACAAGAGTTACACTCGCGATATGCGACCTTGGGCATGACTACGCAGAACGGCCGCGCAAGAAGCGAAAGCGCGAACGGAAGACCATCGACATCAGGTTCTGGAACAGTTCGACGGCAACACATTCGGCTTCGTTCAGATAACGAGGAAGGGTGGCCACGGGAAGACTTTGATAGAACGAAAAAGAGTCTTGATCTCCTGATTGACAGCAACGAAACACTCCATTATACTCTGACGCCTGCTTCTGCCAATGTGGTATGTATCACCGTGAAGTCTACCTTGCAAAGCGCTGACATAGTTTACAGGGAGGAAAGTTCAAGGTGAAAAGCCAGACGCAGGAATTGGCAGATTTCTTCCGAACCACCGCGCCTCCGGGAGAAGAAGTGCGGCCGAAGTCATCTCGTTCTGCAAAGGATGGCCTCCGAGCAAACCCTACTAATTCAATTTCAGCCAAGTCATCTCATCCTCAAATGCCTAGCCAGCAATCTACTCCCTCGCCTTCTAAGCCGAGGAATCGTCTGGGTGAACCGCGTGAAGCACGGATGGTGCGAAACAATACTCGAGATCTCGCTGATTATGCTCGTTCTACCGGACCGGAAAATGATGCACAGCTTCCAAAATTGCTCGCCGCGCGTCCTGCCACCGCTCAAGGTGCCCGGTCGGATCTGTCTCTTAGAGAAAAGGTCTTTGGAGTTGACGGTGACACCCGTCCTAGCACAACATCTGGGAAGTCTTCGACTAGGTCGAAGTACCAGGCTCGAGATGCTAGAGGGCCTCGAACGGCGGAAAGTTCTGATTTAATTGACTTTATCAGAGAAGGGCCTCCACGAGCTGCTGGCGAACACCGCATTGATAGGAGCGTGGCCCCGTTTCGAACAACGATGGATTCTGATGATTTGAACGCGCTGGCACCTCCACCTGAGCTCGACACCAGGGGACGTAACTCTGATGGCAGTGCTCAAGAAAGTGCAATGACGGTCAAATCAATGCCCTCGTCAATGAACTCACGCACTGGATTACTGGAATCTACAAATCGTGCGGCCGGGAAGTTCACGAATGGGTTTGGATCGTCTGCAACTGCGATATCGAAACAACCCGTCATTCCCGAGACGGATGGCACGCCCAAGAGGACTCGACCGAAAGTCCGAGATCCATACGCAATTGATTATTCTGACGAGGAGGAAGAAGACATGGAAGAGGCGTATGAGCCGCCCAAGCGAAGGACCGATGAAGAATCACTTGTTGACTTCCTGAGGAACACTGCGCCTCCTCCTGGCATGACGACTCAGCCCATTCTTGCTGCAATACCCGGCCCTACTCAGCCGGATCCCGCAAACATGATCAGACAGTCTACTAGCAGCTCCAAGCTGAAAGACCTTCTACCTGGTGGCTCGGTGTCATCAGCCAGGAATAATCCACATGCAAACGGGAACGGTGCAACACCCAACACAAGACCAGTCAACATTGCGCGCGCAGAATCTCCACACTTGACGCAGGTGGGATCAAAATTGGACAAATACCGGCCTACAACAACTACACATGCTCCGCATGTCGAGCGAAACAGACAGAAAATGCGTGTCCAACCGAGAGATGCCACTACAACCTCGAATGGTGGCGGCACTGCAGATCTGGCTGCATACCTGATGAACTCGGGGCCACCACCAGGCATGAATGAGAAGCCGCCACAGAAGCTTGGAGGTGCGGTGCAAAAGGATCAAGCAGGGTTTCTGAAATTCTTCCAGAGGAGAGCAAGTGTGAGAAAGTGACCAGGAAAGTGGACGATGATGTGATGATAGTCCAGAGGTATTCTGCGTTATGCACTGGGTACCCGGGACGTGACAAGAGGTAATGTTATTCGATGCTGTGCTGGAAGGCCATGTATATTGGAGGAGAGGCCAAAGGAATCAAAATCGCCAAAAGATTTTTTTCTTCTCTGATGAAGCTGGATAGTCAGATACCCAAACAATCTATTTTGCCATGTAGATTAGCAGTTGAGGACGCTCGGAGATCCTGTCAATATACACAACATCTTTGTCTTATGTAAAATATCCCCTTTATTGCAAGTCGCGCGCTTCACTAATAAGATAGTGTCAACGTGTCCGGCCAGGGTTTGTTGGAAAAGGGGCTTCCTTCTCACCGCCCACGTGATTTCAGTTTTGTACACAGTTTCTGCCACTCCTGAACATTGAATGAATTTCAGTCTCCAGGTCTACCAATTCTAAACAATTTCCTACACGCTTTCTTCCCGCCCCTTTGCAATCCCCGTTTTCTCACTCCCGGAGCCGCAGCGCGGCTTTGGTTTGTTTTCCGTTTCAGTGTTCCGTTGTGCACTTTGTCGTCAACCAGAGCGGCTGTCCGTCGGCACGATGAAGCGCCTCGCGGTCTTCTTCCTCTCCCTCCTCCTATATCCTTTCCTTTCCTCGGCACTGAAATTTGACCTCGTGGCCCAACCAGGACACAGTGCCAAAAATGAACGGTGCATACGCAACTTTGTCACAAAGGATACCCTCGTCGTGGTCACGGCCATTGTGAGCGGGAGCAGAGGCGATGGACAGATGGTTAATATGCACATCAAAGATGCGGTAGGGAACGATTACGGTCGACCCAAGGATGTTGCGGGGGAGAAGAGGATGGCGTTTACGAGTTTGGCGGATACCGCGTTCGATGTATGCTTTGAGAACACGTTGACTGGTCGATGTGAGTTCCCCTGTTATCCAAGTCCATCATGTCCGGTAGAATTGCAATATGAGGACTAACAAGCGGATGTAGCTGCTGTTCCCAACCCCACTCGCCATGTTGAACTCGACATCGATATTGGCGCGGACGCTCGGGACTGGTCCGCGATCCAAGCCAACGAAAAGCTCAAGCCCGTGGAAGCGGATCTGCGAAGAATAGAGGAGACAGTCAATGAGATTGTCCAAGAGATGGAGTATCTCCGAATCAGAGAACAAAAGCTACGGGACACCAATGAGAGCACGAATGAAAGGGTCAAATGGTTTGCCTTTGGGACGATGGGAATGTTGGTGGGTCTCGGAGCGTGGCAGGTCGTATATCTGAGGGCTTACTTCAGGTTTGTTTTTCCCTTGTCAAATGTTGCAGTCTTCGACTAGTGCTCACATGTGCTGTTCTCCAGATCGAAGCATCTGATCTAAACTGCTCCTCGAGTGGATATGCAACGCACTCTACAGTACTAGAGTCTCATGGTATGAACGGCTGGGAAGGGAACATAAAAGCTCGTGGGAAATCGAGATGGTTGTGTTCGCATGTGCCATTGTATGGGGACTCCCAGAGGTACCATCTTGTAATACGAAGAAAAATCTTGAGCCACTTACAGCAATGGCCGGATGGCTTGCTCTTGCTTGCCTGGCCTGAAGAAGCTGAGCCTGCGCAGGGTGCATCGGTCGAAATCACCAGGAGCGAGTTTGGAGCTCAAGAGGTGTAAGTATCCTATGAAGGAGGCTTACCACTTTGCTCAATCTAAAGCGTCAACTTGATATCCCCAACCCCTCGAGACATACAGTACGTTTCAAGCCGCTGGATAAGGTGAGGAAAATTTGCGTACCGATCCTCCAATGCAGTAACCACCCGAATTCAGAGGATCTCATTATCCTGCTGAATGGCACGAGAGATGGGTTGTCCTAGTTGTCCTGTAGTCTGGAGTCTGCCTCACTTTGAGGCCGCGGGGCCGCGAAATATTGTCTGTTTGTTTGCTGTGGAAGTATCTTGATGGGAATCTACATATTACCCAATCCACCTAGAATCTCTCTCATTACTCTCTTCTCCTGGCCCTTCTTACTCTGCATTTGCCACGCGACTGCCTCTAGTTCGCGACATTGACACTCCTCTTTCCTCCGACGCATGTCCTCTTTCGCAGTGAGCTGAAGAACTCAAGGTCACATCACCTCCAGAGACACGTGCAAGCATGTCTGACGGCGACAATCCAACGTGGCAGGATCGCGACGATGAATTCCCAGGCAAAGACCCCGGTCCAGTAATTGGCAAGGACAGTTCTGAAGGGTGAGCTGCTTGAACATCGCCAGAGATAAAAAATCCCCAGAAACTAACGTCGTCAGCACCGAAATCTACTCTTTCGCAGATATTGTCCTGATCACGGTCGGCAAGGAGAAGGTGAAATTCGGGGTCCACAAGGAAATATTGGTGTCACAATGCTCTTTCTTCGACAAGTGCCTTCGCGGAGGTATGAAAGAGGCACAGGAGAATGCAGTCACTCTCTGGGACGACGACCCGGGGGCATTCGGCGTGTTGGTCGAGTGGATGTACACCAGTCGCCTGGACCACTTGCGACGCCCGGGAGGTGTCCTGGTCAACGCATACGTTCTCGCCGACAAGTATGGCATGCCCGCTCTTCAGAATGCCATTGTCGATCGCTTCAGGGTGGCCAACTGGTCGGGTCTGAGGAATGTGCTGTGGGCTTGGGGGAGGTTGGCAGAGGGGTCACAACTTCGCAAGCTGTTTGTGGACCAGGTACATTATCAGATCGCGAAAGCCCCAGAAAAATACAGACGGGGCAGCACCAATACAGTGGATGCCTGTGCTACCGCATTCGAGGAGATTGTCGAGATGAACGCGGAGCTGACGACGGCGTTGATGTGGAAGATGTTCGACCACAGCGGCGGGACTGGGAGCCGAATCCCTACCAATCCAGCTTCACTTGTTGGCTGCGTTTACCATCTCCACGATGACGGCGGGCAATGCAAGCAAGTCACGACGATACGACAAGCTGTTCCCCTTTTTTGTCCTAGGACCAGGCTCTCGAAGATCAGTTGGGTTAATAGACCGACTACGTAATGATTCTCGATGACACACGGCTTGTGGAAGGATCTTGATGGCTTGAGCCCGTCAGGATTGAACTTATCTTGCTGTGCTTGGTATTACGGGGTATTACGGGGTACTTTGTGGGGATCAAGGTGACCAGAAACGCAGCCTCGTCTCGTGGTTGAGAATGAATACCAACTCGGGAGGATATTTTGAACCAATTGTACATATGTATCGTCATGTCGCAGCCCAGCCACAACTTGAACTGTTTGAGGCGCAGCCTCACCCTCACCACAACCTTAGACACACCAAGGGTGAAACGCACCTTCTCAACAAATATATTGACGAAAAGCCGGAATCAACTCTGCTGCGTTCATGAAGAAGTGACTCCTGTTTTCCCTCATCTGATTTGCCTTGATCTGCTTCATTCCCCGTAGCGCCGCAATCCAACAAGGATATACTTACCAAAGTGTCCGGGGCACACTCGTCTGTCAAAAGATTGTCCGACGCCTCTATAACCTTTTCATCTTCTCGTCAATATGGTCCCGCTCAAGCGTCCTGCTAAGGTCAACCTTGAGGATAACCGAGGAAAGAAGAAAAGGTACGAGAAAATACCAGAAACAGGAGAGAAGACGTCGTCTCCCCCTCCCAACTCAAAGAGAAGCCGAGAGAACTCTGTGCTAACCAACGAGGGACTACGAATTAGTTTCGCCGCGGACGACATCATGACCGTCATTGTTGGGCCGAATAAGGTGGCACACCTGGTGCACGAGAGCGTGCTGTGTAAGAGCATCTTCTTCAACAAGTGTCTACACGCGGGAATGCGCGAGGAGGAGGAAAAATCCATCACCTTGCCAGAAGACGACCCGGAGGACTTTGCCTTGATCGTCCAATGGCTGTACTCGGGCCGGCTGCCCAACGATCTCAAGTGGCGGGACATGATACGCGGGTACACCGCCGCCGTCAAGTTCCTCATGTACGACCTGCAGAATGCCGTGGTGGACTGGTTCCGCGTCGAGATGCCGCCGTTGACCCTCGACGCCGACGTTGTCATGCACATCTGGGACAGCACGCCCGAGGGGTGCGAGCTGCGCAGGTTGCTGCTCGACACGCTGTTCCATGAGATCCTGAAGACACCGGCGAAATTCAAATTGCCACCCGATGCCGACGGCGACGACGACGGCCAGGGGAACATCGTGAGGGATCGCCCCGTCCGTGTCCGCACCAAGCAAGACGGCACGTCTGTGGCAGTGATCGACCGGGTCATGAACAACCCGCAGCTGCGGTTGGAAATGTTCTGGCGCTTTGCCGACCCGGACGATCGTCCGCCGAGAGAGTATTTCAAGATCGGAGGTTGCGTCTACCATGTCCATGAAGATCGGCAGAAGTGCGATAGAGACGACGCCGAGGACACGACGGGATCTGATCAACTTTAGCGTCCTCTCCGTGACGATATCGCCTCTTTTTTCTCGGTTCGTTTCGCCTGGAAAAGGACAAGAAGAGAAAGGAAGACATTGATCATGATTGTATTCACATACCTGGGTATCTATGGATGAGCTGCCTCTCGTTTTTCACCCACCTCAATGTCTCCGATAACACCAACATCAGTACCAACGCCAACGCCCACCAACGACCAACCCTCTCGGTCGCTCTCGAAGATGCTCAGTCTAAGGACCTTCCGTTTAGACAATCAAAGACCGCAGCATCCACCCGAAGGACTTGATTCAGACCGGGGACTGCCTAGGTACCTAGGTACACAGAAGAGGACAGGGCAGGAGGATATGAGTGAGCGAGCGAGTTGTTTTTATCGAATTCCTTACCAGGGTGTTTCGGGGACACTTGTTTAGTGATATGGCGATATGGCAATACGGCGATGTGTTTCTGTGGGAGTGGTTATGGGATTCACAGTACATGCATGCATGCGACAAGCAGTGTGCCCAAGCAGTGTAGCAAAATAGCGGGTTCTTTTGTCCCTCTTTTCTCTGTCTCTATATCTCTCTTTCCCCTTTCATCTTTCTTGCCTTCTTGTCTCCTTGCTAACATGGTTCTGGAAATCCAGTTGCCGAAAAATATCAATCGCCCATGCGTCAATCACTGAAGTCTGCATTCTGCAGATGACAAAGGACAAGGAAAAGGACCCAGGGTGGTACCGATCTATATAGCTTCCTTGCTAGCTAGCTAGCTACCTAAAAAAACTCCTTCCTTTTATCCCTCTCGGCTCAAATCCACTCCTTCTCCTTTCATCCTTATCTTCATTTATTCACTGTGCTCTGCTCTGCTCTGCTCCGCTTTGCTGTCCTCTGACCCTTGTTCTCTCAATCCCCTTACGCAGCCTTGGTGGAGATGGTGAATGTTCGAACCTCCAGGAGACATATCCATGTCCATGTCCATGTCCATACCCACTCTTTATAACCGCGAATCGGCGAATCTGTCACGTCACAGCACAGCCCTCTTCTTGATCCTCTCTCCCTGATTCTGCTGTCCCTGTTGAGCACGGCGTTTCAACTCTCTGACCATGCTCAACGCGGCGCGCGAGTAGGGAAACCTCTCGAGGGCGAGCTCGGCGGACGACGACCCCTCGCCGCTCGACTGCCTGACGGCCCAGCGCGCGGCGATGCCCTGAATCATGACGCCCGTGCGGAACACGGCAAAGGCGTCGGACCACGCCATGTCGCCGCTGGGGTCCCACCCGGCCACCTCGCGGTACCAGTCCAGACACTGTTGCTTGGTGGGCAGGCCGGGAGGGCTGGTAGCGGCGTCGGCACCGGCGAACGCAGGGTGCGCGTGCGTCTTGATGTCGGTGAATCCCTGTGTCACCGTCCACGGCATGGTCAGGTTGCTTAGGTCCGAGAGCGGGTGGCCGACTGTGGCGATTTCCCAGCTGTATGAGGTTCGCCGCGGATATCTGGTTAGCCTTGTTTTTTTCTCTATTTCCTTGGGTATGAATATCACACAGTTTCTTCTCTTTTGTGTGTATGAGTGTGTGTGTGGTAGATAGGAAGTGACACAAGGCTGTAACTCCAAGGAGGAATGGGATATAGTTCTACAGCCAACAACCGGAAGGGTTGTTCATGCTGCGTATAACAAACTGGAAGAGAACTCACTCGAGAATACCAATAATGACGGGCTTCGTCTTGTGAAACACCAGGTTATCGATCTTGTAGTCGCCGTGGGTGATGGCGCCGCGATCCTGGGGAGCACTGCCTTGGTCCTCGAAAAAAGCCACCATCTCGTCCATCCCCGGAATCCGGCCCACGGCCTCGCCAGTCTCGACGTCCCGGACCTGCGAGTACGACGCGTCGAGCCGCTTGAGCGTGCGGATCTGGCGCGCGTAGAAACCGCGCGGTTGGCCAAAGTTGGCGGCGCCGGTGGTGGTGTTGGTGAGGCCGACGGCGGCGGGGTCGACGCCGTGCAGGCGCGCGAGGGTCTGTACGGCTTCTTTCCACCTTTTTCGCCGTGGGTATTAGTATCGGTAACAGTATCGGTGTCAGGGACAGAGTGGTGGTGGTATAGGGTTCATAGGTAGGATAGAAAGAAGGCCATGTGTTCCTTGATCACTCCCTTTAGAATATAAGTGAAAACGGTACGGCAACGTACATAAGACTCCTCTCCTCCGCCGACACCCCGGGAATGTACGCCTCCTTGAAGATTCTCCCGTCCAGGAACTCCATGATGTAAAAGGGCGTGCCGACGACGCCGACGTCCTCGCACAGGCAGTACGCCCTGGGCACGGGGATCCCTGGGGAGCGGTTGAGCGCCGAGATGACGCGGAACTCGCGCTCGACCTGGTGCGCGGCCGTCGTGAGCAGTTTTCCGGGTGGTTTCTTGCGCAGCACAAAGTCGCGGCCGTGCTGGTCTGTTAGGCGGTACGTCGGGTTCGACTGGCCGTATTCGAACTGTTTTTTCCATTAGCATCATTTCTGAGTGTGGAAGAGAGAAGGGAGGCGATTGGGGAAGGAAGTGTGAGCAGAAGAGAGACGAGGAAGAGAGAGAGGAAAAGAGAGAGGAGAAAAGCGAAGGGAAGGGAGTCGATGAAATGTATCGGTGTCCTTCCCTCCCGCCTCTCCTCTGCGTTCTCGGTAGATACCACTTCATACATACCTGTCGGATTGTAATGGGGACTTTAATCTCAGGGACATGTTGTTCGAGATAGCGTTCCAACGACGCCTTGTCGATCGGCTGCCTCATCTCGTACGAGGCCTTTTGTGGGCTGTCGTTATGGACGATCAAAGAAATAATGAAGGGATTGACGGATCGAGGTCAAAAAGACCTTGTACTTTTTGTTTCTCCTCCTCTCTGGTAGTGGGCTCACTACTTCTATCAACAGCTGCTGCAAGATGGAAATATCCAGGATCCTTGGCTAAAATGCCTCGGATCTTTCAGTCTAGCAAAAATCCCAGTGGCCCCTCTTTGGTCAGAACACGCGAGAGATCTGGCTGGACGTCTGGTTACAGTGGCTGAATGGGTGTTTGTCAGAGACTCTTACTGTGAAGCGTGCTATTATACCGATATAGCTACAGGATGAAAGTGGACGCACCCCAAGACAAGGGGTACTCAATCACACAACTATAATATTTATTACCTGCGCCAAATCAAGAACTACATGGGTATTCCTGTACAACGTCCAACCGAGTATGCTGCAGCTTCCATCCATCATCTTTGTGTATCTACCAACTCGAAATACATCAATCGAGTTCTGTGAGTACCTTATGCACAGGAAAAGTCGATCTGTCAATTAAAAGTCGTCGTCGTGAGCCAATACCAGTCAAACAAATCACGCCCTCGCGCACTCGTTTAAACAGTGTCGTCGGCCGTCTTGAGGTTCTCCGTGACAACAGGTGCCGTGGTCTTCTCGCCACCATGGTCGTGCGTGACGACAGTGTGGGTGACGTGGTCGATCTCAATCTCGCGTTGATAGATGGCCACCTCATCGGCATCTCCAAAAATGGCGGCAATTTCTTCAAGGGGCATACCCTTGGTGTCCGGGAAGAAGAAGAGCATGATGATTCCGCCAATCGTGCCGGGGATGATGAATGCGAGGTAGAATTTCCACCCAACGGTCCTGTCCTTTTGGTGAGTAAAACGGTCACTCAAGGGGCTAGGGAACAGGCTTACTTGAAAGCAGTTGGGGCAGCTTGGAGCCAGATAATGTTCATGAGCGAGATCATCGAGACTCCCAAACAGACACCCTTGGCTCGGATGTGGCTAGGGAACAGCTCATTGAGGTAGCTGAACTGAGTGCCTGAATCACAGAAAGTCGTTTAGTACAAGCCTCTTAATACGCAGACATAGGACAGACATACCATCGAGGCAGAATCCGTAAAAGATCTGGAAGATGTAAAACATGGCCACAGCCGCGAGAAGGGCTGATTGATTGTCGGATGGCACGAACTCTGCCACCAGAGCGGCCTCGATGATAAGCGTGACCATGCATCCCAACACTCCGAAACCCATGTAGAGATTCCGAGGGAACCGGTCTACCAGGGCCATTGCCATGATGTTGATGCCGAGGGTGAGGGTGAGCCATCCAGCAGGATAGAGTAATTGTTTGACAGGACTGAATCCGAGGTTGGCATACAATGTCGGGCCGTAGTCTTACGCACAAAGTCAGTTCGGGTGTACCCAGAAAATCCTCAAAAGAGAGCTTACTGTTGATGACCAGCACGCCAGAGCACTGAATGATGCTCGTAGTCCCGATGGCGAGCAGGCATCGTTTTCGGTACGATGGCTTTTTCAGCATGTGCATCCACGAGTTGCCCAGTGTCTTGTCGATGGCGATCTGCTTCTGGATTTGGTAATACTCTGCATTCGCGAATTCGTTGTCTGGGTCGTTGGGATCAGAATGCAATTTGAAGAGGATCTCCTTGGCTTCGTCGATGCGGCCTTGCATGACCAGCCATCGGGGCTAGAGATTCCCATCTGGTCAGTTCTCGATTCATCTGCACGTTGGACGATAACATACCGACTCGGGCACCCAGTAGATGCCACACAGCAGGAACAGAGGCCAGGCACATTGAAGAGCTAGAGGAGGTCTCCACGTATCCTCGCCGCCATCCCAGAAGTAGAAGCCAAAGCCAACCCACCCTTGGATGGTATAGCCGAGAATGAGAAAGACGGCATGGACGTCAACCAGAGCACCTCTCAGATCGACTGGCACGACTTCCGACATCCAAATCTAAGTAAAATCATGAGTCAAGGACATGTAACAGAGAGAGCGGGAGAATGGACAGACCGGTACGGCTGCCAGGATCATAAACGCCCCGGCGCCTGCAAAGAATCGAAAGAGCAAGAACTCGCCAACATTGGTGCTGCCGGCTAAGAAGGCTCCCGAGACGAGTGCAATAACTGCTGGCTGTACCAGATGGTCAGCTTTGCACAAACACCATGAATGACCAACAACTCAGCCTTACCACGACAATAGCCCATTTGCGGCCCCATCGATCAGCAACGTAGGGGAGCAACCATGTCCCAATAGTACCGCCGGTCTGGAACAGACCGTTCATAGTACTTATCAGGTCTGTTCCATTGCTTCGGGTGGCGAGATCGAAATACGCGATGAAAGATGGTTGACCTGGTGAGTAGAGAGGGTCAGTTTCAGCATCAGAGCTCAGGCTGAGCAGGATGTTACGAACCCAGGGTTGTCCCAATGATCGAGGCTGTGTAACCATAGGTCAATGACCCAAGGCCAATGAAGCACAGCAACAACACATTGTACGCGTTGATCTTTTGCTTCTTGACGCCCGCAATATGTGGCATTTTGGGCAGCTGCTGGCAGTGTACAACTGGGTGCTGCAGTATTCCCTTGATCCAGTCAAGTCGCGCTCGAGATTGATCAGAGACTTTGCCCGAGGTTTAGAGCAGTACTTGTATATGAAGCTGGGGGGGCGGACTTCCCCAGGCGAAGGGCTTCCCGCTCTAGCGGTCCCACTTGGTGTTTGGACGGTGCTTGCATAGCCTGTGCATGGTGCTCCCTTAGATGCATCCGCGGGAGCGGGCACCTGTGGGGAAATAAGTGTCTTACTCTCTGGGTGCGAGTCAGACTGATCCACCCGGTCATGGGTGTCCGTGAGTGCCCATGGGTACCCATGGGGCGGGGCGTCAAAGAATCGAGCGAGTTGCATATTGTTATCAGCGTCAGGGCTTCCTGACATCCCTGCCCGTGGACATCGCCAACGCGCGACTCGCCGCCCAGGAATTGGCCGCCATGCAGGAATTCATAAGCGGAAGAGTAGAAGGCCAGGAGGATTGGGAGTCTGTGAACTTGTGAAGACTTCGGTTGCCGCCCATCTCGCGCTCTTCCCGGTTCGCCATGTCTGAGCTCAAGCTGCCGTCGTGGAAAGATCTGCCAGCCGTAGAGGGCATGCCACATGGCTGCGCTTGGGGCCTGTTCGACAAGGATGGCGTTCGAGACGAGATAGGTACATTGAATCTCCTTACACCCGAAGCGGTGATCAAAGCCCGAGAAGAGATCCAGACCGGCAAGAGTGTTGTTCTCAAGTACGTCGAGGTACCTCTGGTGTGGTAGGGCTGAAGCCTGATGACCGCCCTCTGTTGACTCGCATAGTTGGCCAATTGACCACGTTCATGAGCCGGGATTCGACCGCATCAAGCCGACCATTAACATCACCGACTGGCGGGCCAAAGGGTCTCCTTGGTATTCATACGACGATGAGATTAGCATCAACACTCAGTCGGGGAGTCAATGGGATGGTCTAAGTATTCCACCCATGGAATCACCACTCTTGTCAATACAGTAAAGCTCACACATGCCCTTGCCAGGACACTGGGGCCACAGCGGGACGGGATTGTACTATAATCGCATACACCATGACGAGCTCTTAAACACAGACCGTATTGGCATTGACCGTAAGTGACACCTGGGACCTGTTTTGACTTTTATTCAGCCTTGTATTTTGACCTCGTCCTCGCAAGACTGGAGCAAGCGCGGAGGCATTGTCGGTAGAGGCGTGCTCCTCGACTATGTTGCCTATGCGGCTCGCCACAACATTACATATGATGCTATGACTCGGCACCGTATTACCCTGGACGTTTTAAAGGACATTGCCAAAGAAGAAAACGTGGTCTTGCGGCCCGGGGATATCTTGCTTGTCAGGTCGGGCTGGATCAAATGGTACAACGAACACTCCCCGGAAGAGCGGGTCGCCAAGGTCAAGAACGGCTCCGAGTACGTGGGAGTGGATGGTTCAGAGGAGGTCGTCGAGTGGATTTGGAACTCTCATTTTGCAGCCGTTGGTGGTGATGCCATTGGCTTTGAAGCGTGGCCACCGCAGCTCCCATGGTGTAAGTCCAACTCGGCGAGTCCTCACTCTTTCCCGCGCTGACTCTCTTGTATCAGGTCTTCACGACTTCATTCTTGCCCTCTGGGGAATGCCGCTTGGGGAGTTGTGGGACTTGGAGGCATTGGCGGCCGAGTGTGAAAGGCAGCAAAGATGGAGCTTTTTCGTCACCAGCTCTCCACTGAACACTCCAGGAGGGATTGCGAGTCCTCCGAATGCGATAGCCGTGTTCTAGGAGGATGGATGGAGGAGGTCTATAGGCTGAACCTAGGTCGTAGCTAAAGCAAGAGAGTAATTTCTCTTCAACCAGTATTGTTTGAGAACCCTTGTTTGGTGCCTTATTGTGGGACGTTCCTCTTAGGGGCCAAGGGGGGGCCAGGAAAGTTTGGCAGTGACAGCCTCGTGACCCTCGTCTGGGGTACCTTCAAGTACCTCCAAGCAATTAATAACTAACTCCAGCCCATCCCTAACACCCCGGGCCCCCCTAGGAACCTGCCGAGTCGTAAGTATCCTCTTGTACCACGGGCCGCACGGGGAAACAAGAAAACCGTCGCTCCAAGTGTGGGTTCGCCTGAAGCTATGGAAACCGAAATCCGTTTCCCTGGGATTCTTGTTTTTTCCCCTTCGAAACCCAAAAAAGTCAGCGCGTCACGAGTCAGGCAGTCTATCTCGTTCAGCCTAGGTTCATGAAAGCCCCTCACGGAACGCCACACGAACGATGAAGCACGCAGATACCGAGGAATCTGGTCATCAAAAGGTCACCAGGTCAGGATGAAGAGGTGGAATTTCTAATATCCTCGGACAATTGACAATTATCCTTTCGCCCGGGACAGAGGCGTCAAGTCTTTCGTCGTCCACTAGGTCACCATGTCGACAGTCACAACGCCAAAG